CAGTTTTCATTCATAAATACTCATATTATTAATTATAATATTTAAGTATTAGTTATTTAATTACAAACGGGAAAACTTCGTTAGTACTGTGATGAATATAAATCATAAAAAGCTTTAAGTACTTTCTTCATTTACAAACACAAAGTCCAAACAATAAATCATATGAGTATGAGGAAGAATTAATATATTATTGTAATTTATCTACATATAAACGTATCTATTATCTTGTAAGATCGTATTACAATGACTAAATTACATAATTGTAACAGCGCCATCTATGAACGGCCTTATCTAAACGTGCATGCAATATGCAATAGACTCGTTGTACAAGTTTGGAGCCTGTTTTTTAATATTATCCGTTTAAAAACTATAACTTTTCACATTTAAAAACAATTCAATGTTAGTTATATTCTGAAATATATTCTTCGGAGGAAAATTACTTGTTTCTGAACCTTAATTAATCCCATTATATTAAGATACCATTCTTATCACTTATTGTCACAATTGTATTATTAAACATTTACTTTGATTGTGAAATATCCGATATACACAATAAATTTAACGTGACATTCATTTTATTTGTCTCATAATCCATTTAATGATTAGATATCGCGGCATAAAACAATCGTAGATAATAATAATATCATTTTGTATTGTCACTTCGAAATTATTTTATTAAGCAGGAAATGTTGTGCCAGTTATTACTGTCATTTAAAATAAAATAAAAATAAATGAAAAAAGGTTTTATAACTAGTTTTGTTTTTATGAAAATAGTTGTAATTAATTGATATTAGATTTTAACAATAAGATTTAAGACTTTGCAAATAGATCGTTCAAGGACAAAAGGTCAATAAAACCATAGATTTTAAAGGTGTCGTTTAGCGAGTTTTTTCTTGTTTATTTTATTTTATGCGTCCTTTAGTATGAGTAAGTTTTAGAGACACGTGTTCCGAATCACGGAACATTTTGTACATGATCAGGGCCACGTATACGCCACACCCACAGTCCTTTCACTTACAGAATGTCTGAATTGTTTCCATAATGTAATAAAACGCATATGATATATTTATTGAGATAACAAAACTAAGGACGATTGTGTTAACAAATTTAAATAACATATACAAAAATTACAATCATATAAATGTATTTTTATTATATATTTCTTTGAAAATAAATATTAATTCGTTTATCATAATAAACGTAACGACACGGCAATGAGACGAAAGCATTTCACAAGCGGTTGCGTTATATTGAAGCGGTGTTGCGTGGCTGGGGTCACGTGACCGGCGGAGGCCCGGCGGGGGGAGGGGCGTGACGTCACGGCGGGGCGAAGGTGTGGTGCACATGCGCCGACGTTCTCAAGGTGACCTCTACGTCCATAGAACAAGTGCTCAGGCCTCAAAGGTCCGCGCTCAATTCCTTTCACTTCCTCACGTCAAAAGACCGGTATTGTACGCGGATATTAACTCCTGTGACCGGTGACATATATGTCGGCGGGCTGTACACGCCGGCGCTGCTCGTCCATCACCTTTTATCACGATCAGCACTGACAAGACGAATCGATATGCGTCAAGCCAGAGACATTGTGAGTACAGACAAATATTTGCGAAAATTTCACCGAAGAATTTCCGACGATATATAAAAAGAAAACTTTGGTCGTAAGAACCGTTTGAGTGTAAAAAAAAACATGAATAATGACAGACGTCTAAACTAACCTTACCACTTTCGTTTTAATTACCTTGACACATATAACGTTTTTTTTTATTAATTATTACAAGAACATTGTCTGGAGATATCCGTTATCTATCGACTTAAAGTTACTAAGTAATAAGTGTGTAAAATGTAAATAATATACAAGATTAAAACTTCTTAATCAGTATCATAGCTAGATGTCATTGATTTGACGTTTATCTGTGGTTAAAGTGTAACCGAGGTTGTAGGACAAGGTTAAAGATGAAGGTCAAAATAAACACTACACAGAAATCATCATTAAACTTTATTATAATATTAATTATAACAAATAATAAAGACGCAAAAAAAGGATTTATTTGTGGTAGAGAATATGTAGTATGAATATAACAAAAATAAAGTCATAAAATTAAATGCACAGTTTAGAAATATTTAAAAGTTTTGCTCTCCATACATAAAATATCATTTTTTTGAAATAAATAATATTTATATTTAGGTCTTAAATTTCAATATCTGTTATATAAAAAAATATAAAGCGCCTCAATCCAAATATTGAATCGGTTTAATCCAGTTATAACAAAGAATTCCCCGAATAACTAAGACGATGTCCAAATAAACGATAATATAGATAAATGGTTAATCACGTATGTGATAAAAAAAACTCGTTTGAATTGGTTTGTGGACGAATTGACAACTAAGAAGTTATGAAAAAATGACAAATCTTTTTTTAAGCTATGGCTCAATTATGTCAAATTTTTTAAAGATTATTTTTTGTGATAAATAAACACTATTTCACTGAGAATGTAGTTATAATTAATATTGTTATTATTTAAGTCATCAATAAATAAATGAGTCATAATTGGCGCGATTTTTATCATATAGATTAGGGAATTTTATCGGAATATCTACTTCATATTGGAGTAGCGTGACATGCAAACTGAATGGAAATCTTTCCCTCGATTTATTGCGCCAATATTACATGAATATAAAGAAATGAGGCTAATTACTTGCAACATTTTCACTGATCACATTCCCGGCTTCTCATTATCGATGGTGGAATGTAGGAAAAAAACTTTGATAGAAAAATGTTACTACGACTTTTCTTGTTACAATTAAAACAATGTTGAAAGTAATCTTTATAAATAATGGTATATCTTGTAGTAACTATAAGTATTAATTGAATCGTTGACTATGCATAAAGACTTAAGATCAGTTTTGGCGCTTATTTCGTTTTATTCTACGAGATTATTAAAACTTTCCCATACATTACACTGCAATCCGACACGAATATCTGTTCTACATTATATTCTTACTTGTTTATTCTTATTTTTCATGACTTCTATCACGTGCGTAATTAGTATTTCGCCCGTGCGTCTTCGTCGCTATCATTAGAAAACAAACACTGCACGAGACGTTTAAATATAGTGACGACGTACATTGCCAAAGATCATTCTTCATTCGTTCAAAAACAATCGAAAACAATATTTTAAAATTATTATATAGGTATACTTAGAATTAATCTTTAGGTATGTTTGTGTTTTACCTCGTTAAATGCTTATCGATCCAAGTTTGAAATGAACCTTGATACTGCATTACACTTACCGGTCATTGATTCTCTAAGGAAATAACAAGTCGTACCAAATTTGGAACATTTTCTACATAATCTAATGAGATCTTGTTAATTATCTGTAATATTTATCATTAATGCATTACTTCCTACATTTACACCTCTAAATCAATTACCGTTAAAATTTCAAAGATTTTTCGATTTTTTTGTTTTAGAGCAACCGATTATTTTCTTTGTTGTCTCGGTATAAATAGGCATAAACCGTACATATTGTTGTTTTCTTATACGAATGCCCCTACATTTTGAAAGATTTACCGGTGCCGCTATTCACATTCACACCAATGACCATACACTCACAGCTGCCTAAGTAAATATAGAAAACATTGGCATTAAGGAATTTTCATGACGTCATGAGCGAGCCCACGCGTCGACCAATCAAAATCGTATAACCAGAGGCGCGCCGGGGATAAAGATAAACAATACAACGTAGATTTATTAAGATCAAAAGTTCACATTAATATCTAAACATTTTAAATTAATTTAACAATTCAACGAAATTTACAAAATATTTTCGAGACATTATTATATATAACTAGGATTATACAATACATTGCTGCACTGCTCTAACATGCACGTTATTTGCACACGAGAAAGAGATAACAATATTTTATTATCATGAATGAAAAGAACGCATCAGTGTTGGGTAACCAGCACAAACGACGGTCACAGCCGAACTAACGTATTCCACGATTCTTTGCGGTGCGGATAAGTCGTGTAGCTTTAGAATATCATAGTGTTTTATTTATACGATCTCTATTTAATAAACAATAATCAAAATGGGAATGGCAATCAATCATTTACCACAGGTGAGTGTGTTGTGTATCGTATATTTATAGTGCTGTATTAAAATAGATCTAGGAGCTATTCCTATAAGCCGGGTTTGATTATTGGAAAGCAACCGTGGCGACAGTAGTAGTGTTGTAATGACCGCTTTGACCTTGTGAAACTCGTTCGCGATTAAAATGTACGTTTACTGTTTAGTTTACCGCCACTAGTATGTGAAGGCGTTGCAGTATAATGATTGACCTTTCAAGGAATTCATTTTACGAAATCACTTTTTCAGACATAACCTCTCCCATTTGTAAAACCCAATTCATAATGTACTTATTTCTCGATGCATTTTCCTCCTTTGATAGAATATTTTATGGTCTAACCAACGTTCGCGTAATAATTTTATGCTATAAAACGTATTCATTTACATATATATTTTAATGCTTATTTTGTAATAGCCGTCTTTTACTTGAATGTTGATCAATGATAATTAACTAGTTTTATAGTACGGCTTCTCTCGCGTTTATGTTAATTGCTTCAGATTCATATCTTGCTTATATGAGTTTAAAAATTCAATTTAATATTTCATTCATTTAATCACTGAAAGCATGTTTATTTCTGAATAAGATTTCATCATGTACTAAAATCGTTTTTCAATACCACAGCCATGATTCCCATAAGATTAAAACTTCCGGTCGAAATATAAATTTTATGGTTTATTTATAATTTTTTATGTAAAAAATAGTATATAATACATATATGGAGAAAACTATAGTTGAAAATACACTTAAATTATATTACTAATATTAGAAAGAACGAATATCGGAATATACACACGTTTTCCTCGTTAACACTGCAACAATTTAAAGTATAAAACAATGACTTATGATGTATTGAAGTATTTAACTTGCATATGAATAATGTATTAAATTATCTTTTAAATGTATATCTGTATGATAACGGAAAAGTTTTTTATTTATTTGTGTTGTTTTTGATATATTTTTGTATCCTTGTTCTAGATTCGCGAGGAATGCGAAGTCTTCCATCTATCTGATAAGCAGTTGAGGGAAATTATGAGCAGGCTCCACAACGACCTGCTCAAAGGTTTAGGCAAAGACAGTCATGCGAATGCTATTGTGAAATGTTGGATAACTTATATACAAGACTTACCTAATGGAAAAGGTTGGCTATATTTTAATTATTATTAAGTAATCGTAATAGTTTTTCAAGTAAATTTTATTCAATTTCGTGCGTTATGTTTCAGAACGCGGCAAATTCTTGGCGTTGGACTTAGGCGGGACGAATTTCAGAGTTTTAATAATAAATTTAGGTGACAATCACTTCGATATGCAGTCAAAAATCTACGCTATACCCAATCACATAATGACCGGCACTGGAATCGCTCTATTCGACCATATTGCTGAGTGTTTAGCTAATTTCATGAAGGTAAATACATATTTAGTACCTATTTTTTAATAGTATAAATAAACTAGCTTTCCGCCCGCAGCTTCGCCCGCGTGGAGTTCGTTTATATCGCGTTTCCAAGAGAACCTTACAAAAGTCTGGGATAAAAACTATCCTATGTACTTTCTCAAGGTCAATTCTATGTCTGTACCAAATTTCATTAAAATTCGTTCAGTGGTTCAGGCGTGAAAGCGTAACAAACAGACAGACAGAGTTACTTTCGCATTTATAATATTAGTAGGGATTCGATGTTGGCTGAATGTGTTTTTTTTAAATTCTAGGAACACAATGTATATGAAGAACGCCTAGCTTTAGGCTTCACGTTTAGTTTCCCGCTAAAACAGCTCGGCCTTACCAAGGGTATATTACAACGTTGGACCAAAGGATTCTCATGTTCCGGAGTGGTTGGAGAGGACGTAGTACAAGGACTAAAAGACGCGATCGCTAGACGAGGAGTGAGTTTATAATATACATATAATGACATTCACAGTGACGTATGGAAATGACAGTTTGACGTTTGACATTGACATGTGTAATGATTGGGAGTTTTTTTTTTTTTTTTGTTCAAAATTCATAACCGGCCACGGCACACATTCCAGGATCTTTCGTTATCTATCATGGGCATCCTAAACGATGCCACCGGGACGCTCATGTCGTGTGCCCAAAAAGATAAATATTGCAAGATAGGAATTATTATTGGTGAGTTGATTGTACGGCATGTGCACACGAGCCGCCCAGGGTACAGTGCAGACTCAGCTTCATGTGACGTCATCATTGACGTCACGGAATTCTATACTATGCATGTATTCTTGCTTTAAAATATACGGGAATGTTAATTATATAAAACATATATACAAAAACTATGGGCATGGTATGCATGTTTATTCGACGGTCACACTAATGGGAATAATTTAATTGGCATAATGAAAATCAAATCAAAATATATGAATATATAGATATTATGAGTGGGTTCAACACTAAAGCCTCGTATGATTGTATGTCCGTACGTCACTGTGAGTGTTCCGGGCTAGCTCTGCAACGGGTCTCATTGTGAATCATTTAATTGTAGGACGTACAGATCGATATATGCGCCATATTGAATGACACCACCGGGACCTTGATGTCTTGCGCATGGAAAAACCACAATTGCAAGATAGGACTCATAGTCGGTAGGTTATAACTATCACACGAGAACCACACACATACATACATACATACATACATATAATAATATAATACTATATATAACTTGGAATATACATATATATTAACGGGTGAGGCATGAAATTCACAATCAATGGTATCCATATATCACTTGCATGAACATATATATAGTATATACTAGAAGACCCGGCGAACTTCGTATCGCCCTATAATCAAGAAATATCGGTTACGTTTTTTTATTTATATTTTTGGAGTTTACCTATTAAAGCCATAAATCTCCGTGTTTTGAAGTACGCCAGAATGATTGACATATTAGTTAGTTGTCAAATCTAATGTAAAAAAAAATGTTTGTATCAACAACTACTAATGAAGTAAAACAACATTGTCCAGCGGACAAAATTATGAATCTAAACCATTCCCAGATCCCCTTGAACACACACAAAAAAATTCATCAAAATCTGTCCATTCGTTTGAGAGAAGTTCAGTGACATACACACTCACAGAAGAATTATACAGGGTGACTGGTGAATTACTATCAATATTTAAGGAGCATACTCGGTACATGATTCTCATTCGAATTATGTAAAAAAAATAGGTACTTAATTTTTGACCAAATTTCCGTATAAATAAATAAAGTATTGACACGTTCCAAGTGTTCCAAGTGTGGACGCGTGCGGCGGCGTGCTGATACAACAACACGCCGCCGCCGCGTCTGTGTGAGTGTGTGTGTATACCTAATCTGTAGGGTGTTCATGCGATGCGTAATTAATTACACAACTTTTGGTTAACTTTACTTAGAAGTTTATTAATATTTATGTTATATTAATTTTTATTTTGTCATATATGATCGTCAAATATCACGTCCTCAAATATCGATAGTAATTCACCAGTCACCCTGTATATATAAAAATTACATATGTAAATATAATTATTGATACAGGTACGGGCAGCAACGCATGTTACGTAGAAAAGACTGAGAATTGTGAACTATTTGATGGAGAACCCGGCAAGCCAGAACTACTCATTAATACTGAATGGGGCGCTTTCGGTGATGATGGGGCGTTAGACTTCGTGAGGACCGAGTTTGATAGAGACGTGGATGAAAACTCCATCAACCCAGGGAAACAGATGTAAGGAACAATATTCTTTTATATTATATACACTTATTTATTTATTTATTCAAGATCCACCAGTGATAATTACTTTAAGACAATATTGGGTAAAAAGAAATACAGTGTAGCTTAATTCTAAATTATCTTTTAAGGCATACAGCATGCAAATATTAGGAAGTTTATAAATCATTTATTAAACAATATATAACACTTGATACAAACTTTTCTGACTACCCTACAAATTGGGGCTAGGGAAAAAACTTTTCTGACTACCCTACGTATGTGGTAGCTAGCGTAATATCATTAGTCTTTATATATTTTCTTGATACAACCTTTGATGACCTATACCTATAACCTATAAATTAAGTATCTAGGAAAAATCTTTTTAACTACCCTACAAATGTATATGCTTTGATATAGCCTTTCACTACTACATTACAACTTCTATCACTAAATTTCAGCATTTTATGGCTATTCTACTCTTATTATGCATCAAAAATTAGTAGGCGTTGTTTAATCTATAAGTAAATACAATTTTTGTAGTGAACTCTGTCCAAGCCACTTCGTGTTCGTGTCGAAAATTACTTATGGCGATAATATTATATGACGAACTATACATATAATACTTACGTTTATATAACCTGAACAAAATTAGATCGATGATAAGGAAAAATAGAAAATATATATACATTATACATTAATTTATTTTTATAAAACATTTATATTGTACTAGCTTTCCGCCCGCAGCTTCGCCCGCGTTGAGTTCGGTTATATCGCGTTTCCAAGAGAACCTTTCAAAAGTCTGGGATAAAAACTATCCTATGTTCTTTCTCAAGGTCAACTCTGTGTCTGTACATAATTTCATTAAAATCAGTTCAGTGGTTTAGGCGTGAAAGCGTAACAAACAGACAGACAGAGTTACTTTCGCATTTATAATATTAGTAGGGATTTGTGTGTGTGTGTGTGTGTGTGTGTGTGTGTGTGTGTGTGTGTGTGTGTGTGTGTGTGTGTATCCAATACAATATCTCGTCGCGTCAAAGTCAGTAGAGGTCAAGTAACTGATGTGATGATTCACTCACAGCTACTTTACAGTTCTGACCTCACGTTCAATTAACTGTTTCAGTTTCATACTAACTGTGCACCGCGACTTCACGTGTCAATATTTTTTTAAGGTACATTAACACTATCAAAATCTGTTCAGTATTTTTATTAATACATATATTAAGTATGAAAAATTCATATATTTTTATAATATGTAGTATATGATTGTGAATTAATATAATCCCTACTAATGTTATAGATGCGAAAGTAACTCTGTCTGTCTGTTACGCTTTCACGCCTAAACCACTGAACTGATATTAATGAAATTTATTACAGACATAGAGTTGACCTTGAGATAGAACATAGGATAGTTTTTATCCCAGACTTTTGAAAGGTTCTCTTGGAAACTGATATATTCGAACTCCACGCGGGCGAAGCTGCGGGCGGAAAGCTATACATAGTAAAAAATATATATATACGCCATTAAAAATTCTGTTCAAATATACATATGACGCGTCAACCGCCTATTAAGAGTACATTGACAAATAACTGTATCGTCCTCAATATGAATTATCTGTGATCAATATGAAAAAATATATTTATCTTATCCACAAGGCGGGAATTACATCCGTTTCCGGTTTTAGAATATAAGCTATTTATTTTTATAAGTTATATTATCAGTAGTGATGTCCCTTAGAACGATAAAAGAATTGATTATTTTTAAAGATATTGAATCTAGGTTAAATTATAGATAAATTAAGTTCTAAGTAATGAACTGTTTGTTTTATACTTAAAAGAAATTACGTTTTTCCTTCTACAGGGTAATTTGGCTCAACTAATTTGCCAAGGCTTTTATCTAAATTAAATTTCCAAGATTTTCCTGATAGCCGTCTCCTATCAAAGGTCGAATCAAAATCTGTACATTTCTTTCTCAAATTCAAATCACATGTTGACAATTAAATATCTTATCAAATCTTAAGATTAACTTGACATTGGCTGAATTAACTGCGAGGCCAAATGGAGGCTGAAGTAATTAAAAATATACATATAATAAAAAAAAATCTTATCTATAACTATAATATTTATTTAATTATCAAAATAAACATGACTTTGGCATTATATAGTGTGCAAAATTACAAATAGAGAAAAAATGTTTAGTAAAAACATTCTTCTAGATAACTATGTACATATCATTTTAAATTTCTTATGAATCATCAAATTTATCATGACTTTATAGTACATAGAATACAAAATTAAAATGATTTCTAATAAATTATTATTTATTTGAATTTTTCATATAAATTGTCATTGTCTGTATATTGTGTGCAACATAAAAAAAGTATTACATACAGAAAAAAATACTAATGTATTATTAATTTGAATTTCGTGAAAAAATCGAAATTATCATTACACTGGCTGTATACAGTGTGCAACATAAATTCTATAGATTAAAAAAAATAAATGTTTATTATACAATGTTTCAGTCAAGAAAAGATGATTTCTGGTATGTACATGGGCGAACTAGTACGTCTCGCGCTAGTGAAATTCACGCGGATGGGTTTGCTATTCGGCGGGCGAGGATCCGACTTGTTGTTCCAGAGAGGAAAGTTCTACACGAAATACGTTTCCGAAATAGAATCGGACAAACCCGGGGACTATACTAGCTGTATGGAAGTCTTGGAGGAACTAGGTAAATATATCCTACTAATATTATGATTGCGAAAGTTTGTGAGTGTGTGTGTTTGTTACTTCTTCAAGCTCAAACGGTTGAACGGTTTTGATAAAATTTTGTATACGAAGCTGACGTCCAGGAATAACACATAGGCTACTTTGCATATCGAAAATCCGCGGGTAACACCGCTGGGCGCAGCTAGTATATGTATATTTAGGATTCTAATAAAATCATTAATAAAATTGACTTTTCTCATAAAGCCAGTACATTTAAATAACAAATAAATCCTTAACTAGAACAAACGAATTATTATCTTAAACCAAGAAACCTTTAATAAGTTAAATTCAATTTACACGATAGGTATCGACCAAATACTTTCCCGCGTAAAAGTGAACAAACCAAACGTCATCGCTTTAATATCGTTTTGGATATGTTCGGGAATTTAAAGCTTCAGTTCAAATTAAATTTGTGTTCCCTAAGTATATCATATAGAGACGAAACTACTCAGCATTCCATGGATTCATCGTGCGGGTGCCGGGTCCATCGCCTTGCAGGGAGAGGAGCTTCACCAGTGCCCGGGACTTGCGACCAAGGTGTAGGTTTATGAGGCCGCTATCAAACGCGCGTTATACGCTCACCTCCACTGTCCAAGCTCCTCTCCCTACCTAACCAAATTTGAAAAGAACTTACTAGGGCTGCCTTCGATGTACGTTCCAAGAATGCATTAATGTGAGTTCTGGACAGGCCCAAGTCCTTTAGTAGGTTATAGAGAGATTTCGCTGTTATACTTCTCGCTCCCTTGGTAGAGGTCTACCGCGTACAAATCTACTACGAACCTGTTTCGAGTGAGTTCGTTTGTGAGCTCGTAATATTTGTTGACCTTGATGGTATGGTCGTTGGGGATGTTGGTTTCCCAAGGGACCGTAAGCTCTATCATCACTACGCGCTTTAGAATTCGCGAAAACAAAAATATATCCGGTCTGGAGGCCGACGCACAAATATCCTCGGGGATTTTATATTGCTTTTCATACGTGTCCATCATTATAGTCCAATCCGACGCCGCTTTAAGGATGGAGTAAGGCTTGACGTTTGATTTTGTAGTCCTAGTGCCTTCTCTCATAAAACATATTCATGTTAAGTATTGTACGGAAAGGGAAATCATTCAAATAAGCAAGTCTGTTTCACACTAATTGCTCTATTCAAACAAAGACCGTATACTTAGGTAACACATAATATATATAAAAGAAAGTTGTGTTAGTTACACTAGTTATAAATCAAGAACGGCTGTAAGTTTTATACTGATAATTGGTGGAGAGATAGCTTAGAATCAAGACACGGATATAGGACACATTTTGTACGAAAACGAGATAGAAATTCGGTTGTATTTTCTGGCGGGACTTTGAAATTACGTCTATGGAATTTTATCTAAACTATTTCAATGTCCTCGTTCTATAAATATATATTTTAGCCTAATAGCCTATATTCTAACTTAAGAAGAAAATAGTAATTGAATCTCAATGCCATTTTAAATTACTAGCCTCTTTATTTTAATATTAATGGCAAGTTGAAGCTAAGTTTACTGAACCTGAAGTAACACATTATCTATAGTAAAAAAAGGTTGAAGTGTTTGTTTGGTTATTCCAATTAGTATGCTATATATTTTAATAGTTAGTAACTTCTGAGCTTTGCCTGTACGTGTGTGTTTGTGTGTGTGTGTGTCTATATTCAATCCATATTCAAGCTATCTTAATGGCGGTTTCTAAGCTTTGTCTACGTATAAGTGTCTATATATACACACACACACACACACACACACACACACACAAACTCTCTCATTTACTGAATCGTGTCTGCTATAAATGAATCGATGTCCACGATACAGGCCTAGCCTAGTGTGGACGTCAACATTGTATATTGAATTGTAATGTTTTTATAAATGTATAAATGAAATAAATAAATAAATATGTCCGAACCCCTTTCTTAGTATTCAGTGTCCTCTATCCAAAGGTTGTCTGGAAGAGATCGTTCTTTTAGCGATAAGACCGCCTTTTGTACCATGTTTTCTATTTTGTTATGGTGCTTCTTGTATTTTTTTGCTTCGGTGTACAATAAATAATAAGATAAATATACTTTATATTTATCTTATCTTTATCTTATGTAATCTCTCCAGGGTTGGAACACGCCAGCGAATCAGACATGGCGGGTGTACGTCACGTGTGTGAGAGCGTGTCGCGCCGCGCGGCGCACCTAGTGTCAAGCGGGATCGCGACGCTCCTCAACAAGATGTCGGAACCTCGCGTGACAGTCGGCATTGACGGATCCGTGTATAGATTCCATCCGCACTTCCATACACTCATGTGTGATAAGATAGCCACACTCGTACGACCAGGATTACAGGTAAATACACATATATACTCTATACGGTAGTCAGTGGTGGCCTAATGGTTAGAGGGCCCGCCTCTCATGCACGAGGTCGCGGGTTCGATCCTGGCAAAAGTACCAATGTGATTTTTCCGAGTCATATGTACTTTCTAAGATTTAGACATAAATGATTAATGCATTTCCAAAGAGGGTTGATGGTCAGGTAGGCGGCCGGTCGTAAAAACAATTAACCAAAACTATTCACAACAAGTAAGGCAGACCCTGGCTATAGCCGGGAAATTGCCAGAAAGAAGAAGATATATATTCTATACGGTGAAGGAAAACATCGTGAGGAAACCTGGACTTATTTCACAATTATAAGTTTGAAATCACCAACCCGTCTTGAGTGAGCGTGGTGATTAATGCTCAAACCTTCTCCATGTAAGAACATGCCTTTGCTCAGCTGTGGGCTCTGATAGGCTGATGACATGACACATATACTCTATACCTTGAAAATACGATGCATCAATGACATCACTAATAGGTACAACATATATAGATTTTACCACAAAGAATATTAGGTAAAACAATCGGTCGAATAGACAGTTTTCTTATCTTGTAGCTGGCAATTTCCCAATTTTAGCCAGTCTGCCTTACATGTTGTGAATAGTTTTGGCTAATTGTTTTTACGACCGGCCGCCTGCCTGACATCAACCCTCTTTGGGAATTCATTAATCAGTGATGTCTAAATACTCTCAGAAAGTACATATGACTCGGAAAAATCACATTGGTACTTGCGAGGCCCAGGATCGAACCCGCGCCCTCATGCATGGAAGGCAGGTTTTTAACCACAAGGCCACCGCTGTCTTATTTTCTATACCTTGACAATACGATGCATCAGTAGCGTCACTAGTACAACATTTATAAAGATTTGACCACAAAAAATATTTGGTAAAACCGTAAAACAATCGGTCGAAAATTATCACTGACGTATAATCAACGAAAAAGAACAGCAATAGAATCTGGTAGATATATAATTATCTGAATGCATTAGGTTAAACATGACAAAAACACGATTTTTCTTTAACTTTTTTAAATGTGTGAATAATATTTATATTGTATCCGTAACGATAAATAAATTAAATTATTTTAATAGAAGAAATAAATTACCGCCAAAACATGGCGTCATGTCAAACTCGTTTTAACAATTACAAACTACGGATAAGTTATCGTAGCGTATACAGCTAACATTTATCTATCATTATGAGCGCAATGCGCATGATTGTTGACTGAAACAAAATATTATCACAATAACTACGTCAGTCTGTACGTAAAACATTGTTTTATTTAATATTCTTATCTTTCTCAAAGGTTACATTAATTTCCGTTATAAAAACTAACGCGAGTAAACATTTTTGTTTATATCAGACATTAATTTGCCGAGCCCCTTTTTGTCAGTATTCGTAAAGTTCAGTATGATTGTGTTTCTTACTAAGTTACTACTATTACTTCTATATTATACTAGCTTTTGCCGCGTCTCCGTCCGCGTGGAGTAGTGACTTTCGGCAGATTTTTGGTTCTTCCCACCTAGTTCCCACATAGTTTCCCCGTTCTTGCGGGGTTTTCGGAATGGTCGAGTTCCCGTAGAGTTTTCAGGATAAAACCTATGTTTTTTTTAAATTCACAATGAAGTACTCTTAACCAACAACATATTTATTTGTTTATTTGAATAAAGATTAATATTATTATGTAGATACAACTTACACAAATTATTTCGACCAAATTAGGTACCATAAAAACGGTTTTTGTGAGTTAATCTTAAAAGATAGACATATACTGTCGCGGGCTGTTTTTTAGATCATTAAAAGAGCTATTATTCTTTCATACATATTTTTTGTGTATCTTGAACCGTTTTCACGGCGCACGCAACGAAAGGCTTCAAAGATGAAATAATTTCTCCCGTTTTTTACACATTTACCACTATATCTTTGCTCCTATTAGTCGTAGCGTCATGTTATATAGCCCACAGCCTTCCTCGATAACTGGAATATCCAACACAAAAAGAATTATTCAATTCGAACCAGTAGTTTCGGAGATTAGCGCTTTCAAACAAACAAACAAACTCTTTAGCTTTATAATATTAGTATAGATTTAAATATTTCATTTATTTCCTTTACTTCCCGCATATATATTTTTTGTATTATTTCTTTAAGTCATAAAACGTATATTATCCTAACAACCCACTATAATTCAAGACGTAATACTAAATATTAATATAACATATTGTTACAACTAATATTAACAGTAAAACGTTCGTTTCCAGTTCGACCTCATGTTGTCTGAGGACGGCAGCGGCCGCGGGGCGGCGCTAGTAGCGGCCGTCGCGTGTCGTGAGCGGGAAATGGCGTAGTAAAAACAAATGTCAAGTACAAAACTTCGTCTAATTTCTTTGGACTTAGCAAGTTAGCTGTTGAATCATTTAGTTGTGTGTAACCACAGTGCCTGGGTGAACATCAGAACTGGATTATTTTTATATCAAATAGAATATCGATGTATAACTAGAACGGTTTGTCATCCCGTTCCCCGTGTGAGTGAAGATTTCTAAACATCCACATTGTACTTATTATTTTCGTTAGTCTAGTCACAAAATAACAAAATTTCTAATTTAAAACCATTATAAATCAAACCCGCCTTTTTTGGATTCGAAAATATATTACCAAGACTGAAAATTTTGAAACGAAATTGAAATATGTTTTTAACTGTAAATACGACAATTTTCATTTCAGTCCTGTACGTATGGGTGATTTATATGAATAACTAATATAATATATTATATTCGTGTAACTATATGTAGTGTTCGATACACTTAAATGTAGCAATATAATTATGAATCTCAGTGAATATGCTGATTCCGTGCTACTGTAGACATCATAAACGATCATTCCATTATAACGAACATCTGTACACATTTATTTGTATCGCTATAGATATAACATAAAGGTGGCACTTCACTTGGCGTTGCGTATTCGCCGTATTTGTTCATATATTTGTACGTAGTCCAAATAGCGCAAACACCACATCCACACTTGGCAACAAGTATTTACGCGTTTTCGCTTATTTGTGTGTGTCTTAGTTGTGCAAATATGTCAAATAAATACTCCACACATGGAATTATTTAGCCAAACACAGCAAATAAACGCCAAGTGAAGTGCCATCTTAACAGTAGCTATTATATATGTAGTGTAAGATATTAAGTTCGTTTCAATAAAATCGATGGTTGAAATGAACTCTTCATTTTGGTTATATTTTGATTTTTTTGTTAAATATTTTACTGTGATAGAGCTAGGACTTTGTATAAATCGTTTTCTTGTTTTTCGATTTTAAGTATTAAAATATATGATTGTGAGAAAAATATATATTAGTATCATTTACAGAAGAAAATCAATTTACAATATGATCACTTGTGCTTCAAATCATCTACCATATATAGTTCCTAGTTAAGAATAGGTGCATTTTATATAAGTTTAGTATTTCATTTTGTTTTATTGATTGATTTAAATTATTTATTTTTCTGTCATCATTGTTGTACTTATATAATGTATAGAGAAACATTGTATTTCAATAATGCTATGTACCATTTATTGTGACTTACCTTCTGATGAAATATGTACCTATTTAAATGGATCAATGTAATGATACTTTTTGAATTTGTCGTGATTATTTTGTACTTATTTTTGCTCAAATTGGATATTATCTTAATGAATGGATTTTCATCATCTTATTGAAGTTTCTGCTTGTATTGTATATAGTTGCTACATTCCACAGAAGCATTAAACATTTATGAGCAGAAATGTACATATCTCAAATATTTTAATATGTAAATGTTATATGAACTATATAACTACAGCTTTTCTATCCAATTTGTAATATTTACACCAATGTTTAAATAGCAATGTGACTAAACAGTTTTTTTCTATGAATATTATTTAAATTATTAGAATATAAATCATTTGGAACATGAGAAACCAACTAGGATGTTAACAATGTTACTTTTAAATAATACATTTTTAAAGAATTTAATTATTTTTTTTACTTCACCCCCTCTATACAAATGTGTTAATTAACATACTTGTCAATAAAAAAATCTGGTTTGCAAATAATTGCTTTATATAAAGTGCATCTAATGATACAAATTATTGTGCTTACAACTAGAATATGCTAAGTTCAAGCTATAATATAAAAATATAGAAGAGCACTGGAGATACAATGACATCAACTTCTCAACAACCAGACATTCACAAAACGAATCTGTAACAGATTCCAGATCTTGGTTAATTAAATTCTAGAATCACAATATACTAAACTACATGTCATATCGTCGGGAATAGTGCAAATAATCGTTACTAACATTGTATAATTCCGCGTATATACATTGGAAGCAGGTTTAAGCTGAAATATTTTCTATATTAACAACTTTTAAGGTAACTTTTTCACAATTAGTAACAAATTAAACATATATAATTACTAATTGTGGAAAAATTACTTTAAAAGTCGTTAATTTAGAAATATTTCAGCTCAAACCTTCTTATAAGCTGCTTCCAATATAGATATACGTAATTATCCAATGCTAGTTAGCGGATTTGCACTATCTCTTACGATATGTGGCTTAAAGCTATTCCAGGGTCTATTAGACATTGCAGGCGCAGTCTGATGGGGGCTTCACAGGTTTTCTAGGGGCGGTAAGTTTCTTGGATGTTCCTGTCCCATACTGAATCCCCGAACCTATTCGCTCGGGATCCAACTCGCCAGTCTCAATCTTAGCCAGGATAGTTTTAGAGCACTTTAAGAAAGCTTCCTCTACGTTTTCTCCACTTCTGGCACTCGTTTCAAGGAACATTAATTCTTAAACAAGCAATATATGGGTTATGTATTGAAAAAGACTGAATATGTTACACTTCATTGTATATGTACATGTTTTTTTATCTTTAAAGCTTCATTTCTACTTAGTATTAGGTGGAATAATATAACACTAACCACTACAAGTAAAAAAATTAAAGTTATGCCTGTAACAATCAATATACGTTTTTAAGTGTATTTTAAACTAATATAGCAAAACATTCTCACCATTTTCCTGTGCAAATTGACTAGCTTCAGTAAAGGTTACTTCTCTAGAACCTTCTAGATCTTTCTTATTACCGACGAGTAGTATGACAATGTTAGGGCTGGCGAGTGTCCGAGCATCTCTCAACCAGTTACTCAGAGCATTGAATGAGTCTCGAGATGTAATGTCATACACTAACAGAGCACCGGCAGCTCCTCTATAATATGAACGAGTCACTGACCGAAACCTCTCTTGGCCGGCCGTGTCCCAAATTTGCAGTTTAGTAGATTTTCCTCCGATATTTATTATTTTTGACCCAAATTCCACGCCTATAGTGTGACATCTGTCTTCTTTGACTACAATATTTATGCATTTATATTTAAATAGGTTTAAATTTATTTATGTAAAAATACTTTTGCGTGTAGTAAAAATAAATTCTATATGCAAATAACAATCACTACTTATTTTGTTGCTATAAACGTGATTAAAAATTTTCCATTTCTAGAATTATTGTGTTTTCATACATTTTATTAAGTAATTTAAATAGCTCATCAATAAAATTAAGCAAAAGAAGTAAATATGCATAACAACAAGTTTCATTTAATAGTGAATAATTAAATAACAGAAATTTGCGTGTTAGCCTTGTTTTTTTCTATACGCAATCATAATAGTACTTACATTTGTTCCCTAAAAAGTTATTTAAAAGACTCGACTTTCCAGTACCAGCACTTCCTATGATTAAAAACTTAAATAAATATTCTGAAAACAAAAATAAGCAAGATTAATATTAAATAACTCAGAATACTTATAATTATTTTCTTCCAGAACATTTACCATACGATTCAGACATCCCTAGTGTTGTGATAGCTACAAAATGGTTATTATAATTGACGTATGAACAAAATTGTATTAAAATTGTTAATTATTGAATACAATCTTCTTTTAGTCAACACTAAACATTAGAAAAATAGTAGGAGTTAAAAGTCTGACCAGCTAATTTTACATCATAAGACAGAATAATAATATGCCAATGTCAAACATAGAGTAGAATGTACTTTTAGAAGATTTTAAAAATATGTTTGTATTGAATTAATATTCAATATAATCAAAAATTATACTATAATTACTTTTTTGGATAGAATAAAATTATATACCAATATTTTTTAAATTAAAAATAAATACGTTGTACTAAAGGTACATCAATACTTTATCATTTCATCCAATTTAATATTTATAGTTTACTTTGACATTGATATATTTATCATGTTTACCTTTTTTTAGACTTTAAATTAAATTTAATATTTCACAAAATGTTGCAAATTCAACGCCAGGTTTGTATATAATAGTGTGAAGAAAATTTAAAACATAAATTATTTCATCCTTTATGAATTTCCATTTCAGATGTTTACTAATTTATCGAAAAATGTACATAAACAGAGATCGTTCCCTGTTAGATATTTCTGGGAGTATGTTAATATGATGTTTAATAAACCAGATGAAGAGCGTATAAAAACATTAGGTCCAGATCGAGCCTGTGCTGAATGGGTTTTACGTAACGGAGGTAAAGTGACTTGGTCTAATGGAAAGCAACTCGCCGATTATAATTTATTGCCACCGGAAACTCAATCCGTTCCTAAATTGGTCACGATTGATGGTTCCGAGTCATCTATATCACATTATGGATTTGCTCATCTAAGTATGTATACCAGAATTAAATTGATGTTGTCTCAATTAAAAGTTACTTGATATGTCGTATTTTAGGTGGTTGTACAATGTTACAAAAAATAATTCTTCATGACAACAAATATATTGATGACAGAGCAATGAAAGGATTAGAATATGGGAAGGATACATTAGAATTTGTCCAGGTGTCCAAATGTTTTAATGTAACTGATGCTGGCGTCAAAGAAATTAAAATATTGACGAAATTAAAAACATTAGTCCTTTTTAATTTGTCAGGCGTAAGCGATTTGGAAGAATGCAAACAATACCTTAAGTCACAAATGCCTAATTGCAAAGTTCTAGGTAAATAAATAATTTGTAACTAAAACCCTTTTCTTGTCGGCTATAACTTTAAACATGTATTGTTTCAGATGAAGGCGAAAAATTAAGCAATTAATACATACAAAAATCCTTGTGTAAATATATTTATTGGAAAATAGTTACAATATAATTTTAATAATATATTTTTTTACATTCAATAGTGCACTACTATTTGACACCTTTTCCGACTGCCATACTGACATTGGTGTAGCCATCTTTAATGAGAAGTTCTGCTAGTTCAGATTTTATTTTAGTTACTACTTGAGGTCCGTGGTATATTAAAGCTGTGTATATTTGCACTACGCTGGCACCGGCTAGTATTTTTTCGTAGGCATCCTGTCCAGTGAAAACACCCCCCACTCCTATTATTGGTATGTTACCTACAACAAAAACATGTTTGATTAAATAATTGTACATCTATAATACTCTAATCAAATGCTGGCAATACTTGTTATAGTTTTTTAATCTGTTGGTTGTTTATGCTTTTTTTTTGTATTTTGACAAATTTTCTTCCGAGATTAAATAAAGTACTATCCACAATATATTGCTTATTTAATATGTATTGTAACCTAGATAAGACTTAATATATTAAAAAAAATGTTATACCTTTTGTCAACTTATACATAGTCTTAATCATTTCTGTAGATTTATTTGTCAACGGTTTCCCGCTAAGGCCACCAGCTTCGTTTGAATGCTCCTGATTTATGAGCGAGGATCTGTCAATAGTTGTATTCGAAATTATTAGACCATCAACTTTTGTATCTTTTTTTGATATAACCGAAACAACATCTTTCATTTCATCTAATGATAGGTCTGGTGCGAGTTTCAATAGCAGAGGTGGCCTTTTTCCAGATAGATTGTTTAATGTCTTATTAATTCCCGCCAAAAGTTCTGATAATTCTTGTTTATTTTGTAACGATCTTAATCCTGGTGTGTTTGGGCTGTAGGAAAAAGTTACATTCATGATTAGATGCAAGAATATAATTATAGATTCTATTGAAAAGATGAATCTTACCTGCTAACATTAATAACAAAGTAATCGGCTACATCATGGAACTTCTGTATTCCTAAACTGTAATCTTGGATGGCATCGTCAGAATTTTTATTTTTACCCAAATTAATACCAAGTATGCCGCCCTCAATCACTGATTTGTCAATATTTTCTATTTTCTTATACACTTCGTCGCGGCCCTCACTGTTGAATCCATATCTGTTTATAACCGCAGAGTCTTCTGGTAATCTGAATACTCTGGGTTTTGGGTTACCGGGTTGCGGTTCAGGGGTCACTGAACCTATTTCAATAATCGAGAAACCAATATTCCTCAATCCTGTCACAGCATCACCGTGTTTGTCGAAACCTGCTGCTATTCCTATTGGGTTGCTCAAATCATACTTTAATAATTTAGTTTTCTGGGGATCAAAATTATTTGATAAGCATTTTAAAATATTCACACATAATTAAATGTAGAAAAAATATCAATAAAACATCAATTAAATATTTCACCTACTTTAAACTACCAAATAAGCAAATTATTTTGAATTTTATGTCTTAAACTAGATATATAAGAAACATACCAGTATTTTGGGGTCCTCAAAATTTTCTGTAGGGAATAAACCGTATTTGATAGCAGATACTCCAATTTTATGGGCCAGTTCAGGGTCGAGACGTTGGCTCAAAGGTTTCAATACATTATCATAATACCCATTGAAATCTTTCTTAAAATAAATAAATTGGTACGAAAGGGACCCACCTAACGTTAAATAACACAGAGACTTTATTTTTTTCTGGAATAAAATTATATTGATTATAAACACACGTATATTGGATTTTAATTGTTGTTTAGAAAGTTTACAAAATAAAAAATAATAATCAAATAATCTGAATAACATACCAGGTTGTTATAATTGCGGCTCATTTTCTCCTTTTTTTGTGTTCGGTTAAAAACACTAAATTCTTTGACGAGAAAACTTTTGTTTCTCGTCAAAGAATTGAATATTTTAACCTCTTTATCGTAAGAAATAGAAACTACACACTAGTGCTGAGCAACTAGTGTCCGTTGGAAAAATATAGAAAAATATAAATGACACTTTGAATTGATATGACCTACACAAAGCAGAATGCAGATATCAAATTACTTAAGAAATATTTTTTCTTTTTAAAATAAACAAAATAAAAAAGTCCACCAGCTTGACATTATATGTACTGAGTTACAACATACAAGAAACTACAGCTAAAATATTCACAAATTAATTTATCGAACCCAACATCTTTAATAAAATGTACTGGATTTTAAAATTATTTAATCAAATGCAACTAAATATAATTTATCACTTTTTAAATGCCTAAATTCGACGTAAATATGATTGCATAAAACATCTTATTTTCGTTTTTGAACTTATGCCGTTTACTTTCTAGGTGGTTCTAGATCTTTCTTTAGTAAGGTAGAAATAAACTCTATATTCCTACTGGGATTCATAAGCATTGTGGATTGTAGAATAGATTGAACTATATTTTCCAAGAAGGACCTATCCTGTTAAGTCCAAAGTTCAATTGCTACAGACCAAAGGTCGGCGCAAAATTATAATTACCTATGATTAAATATAAATACATTAATATACAGTGACCAATATAAAAACTTAGTCTGTTATCATTAACAGACTAAGTTTTTACTTTCTCATGAAAGATGTAATCTTGTAACAATCTTCTCTAAGATTATACGCTAGGGTGGTGTTTAGAGAGCTCAGTAGTTTCTAAATGTAAGAACTAAGAATAAATGGAATTATTTGTTACAATTGCTTTGGGACCTCATAGTTTTAAAATTACTTATTAGTTTTTAAAAAAATGAAATAGTATCGAAATCCGGGCAAGATAAAATAATAGGTACAGGATTAAGTAGAAGCATATATGTATAAAAACTGAGTATATTGTCCACGTAATAAATAAAGTCAATTAAGAAGTACTGCATATCATATTATCTTTTATATTGCTGTATTTCAGCAATGTAATCGTAATAACGAGGAAAAATAATTTTGATTAAAAAGCCTATGCCACCATATTGGAAAAAGAATTATTTACTATAATAAATAAAAACTTTTATAATAAAATATAAAATTCTTATATACTCCTTGTTTTGAACTATGATGGAAAATTATAAGGTCAACGAATGGTAAGAGAATCGTAATTTTTAATATCATATTACTTCGGTGTAGTCAAACTAATTAAATGCTTTTTATATCAGGCGATCAGACTAGACTGAACAACTGATTGAAACTAGTTTGTCAGGGTTTTTTTGGTTGAAACCCAGAAAAGTCTAAACTTCCAAGGTTGATCTTAAGACTTAACTTAATAATCATTTAGCAGTGAGCATAGCCTGTACGCTTTAGTTGACAGACGACCTGACGTTAGCTAAGTAGTTCAAAATTCAAATGTCAAATTAGTTTAATACCAATTACTAATAAATAAAAACACTTCAGTGGAAAGAAAACATTAATTAAAATTAAAATGAAGGCTATATTACTCTTTGATACTGTTAACGACTTGATATTTTCTAAGTGGGATGATGATTTTCTACAACGTATGAAATCGTTTAATGGTCAGGTAAGTTGGTTTAATTAAATATGATCGTAAGTCGTAACCATTCAAATCCGATAATATTTAGAATCAGTCAATAAAATGCTAAGAGAAATAATCATTATTAGTGAAAAAAGAGTATAATATTGATTGGATTCATTTGTTTGTTATTTATCTTAGGAAAAAGATGTAAACATCACTGACAATCACCACATATCTCAACTCCTGTCTCCAATCATCACCTCGCAGCGTGTGATGGCAGCTCAGTTCAGTAATACATATACTTCCATGCAATGTAAAGACAACACCACTATTGTATTTGATGAGGTCAGTATAGTGTTTCATCAAACACTCCAAATTATTAATATTTTGTTCAATATAGTGTAATTTCACAGTATATCAACGGGAATTTTACATAATTAGTACATAATATATCGTCGGGGATAGTATAACTACAAATCTGTGTAACTACCATTGGATAATTCTGTATATCTACATTTGAAGCAGATTATCAGATATTTAAGCTGAAATATCTTCTATAATAACGACATTTAAGGTAAATATTTCACAACTAGTAATTATTTAGTGTTTAATTTATTACTAATTGTGAAAAAAATACCTTAAAAGTTATTAACTTAGAAACTATTTCAGCTTAAACTTTCTATTGATAATCTGCTTCCAATATAGATATGTGGAATTATCCAATGGTTGTTACTTGGATTTGCACTATCCCCGATGATATATGTTATTGTTATATATTTTTATATATATTTTAGTTGCTGGACCATGTGTTAATGATTATTTGTGAAGACAGAGTAGAAGATGCTCAAAGGGAGTTGATGGACTGCAAAACTCTTGTACAACACATATGCGGGCAGAATATGAATCTGTAAGATCAGAAATTACTTATATCGATGGAGATAGTGCGAATTCGCGAAAATAAAATAAACTAATATATTTAACACTAAAAATTACTAATTGTGAAAAAATTACCTTAAAAGTTGTAATTTACAAAATATTTCAGCTGAAACTTTCTTTTGATAATCTGCTTCTAATGTAGATACGCGGAATTATCCAATGGTAGTTACGCAGATTTGCACACTCTTCGATAATATTATTGTTATGACACAACTAAATAAACTAATTTCAGTTATATTGGGAACATACTATATGTTCTGTGTAAATTATGTGATGGCAACATAACAGAACATTTATAATTATTTTTTTAACATATAGGAACAAGTTAAATTATAATTAACAGATCTATAAATAAATATCATAAGTATACTGACATTTAAATAATTTATGCTTAAAATAAATGTGTCATTTAAAATTCGAATTGATATAATGAAAAATTCTAGAATTACATTCTGCTTTGATTAAGAATTATATAATGTATTGATCACTTTTTAAATATAATTGCATTTGATGCGAAACCTTGAAAGAGGTTTTATTTAATCAAGGTTGAACCACCTTTCAAGAAAGGTCACCCATATAATTTTAATTAATATTCTTGTATATATTTATAATAAATTTACCAAAATTACACTGTAATTTCTAGTTTACACTCTCAAGTGTATCAAGAATGGCTATCTGTTTTATTGGAATCTCGTGGAAAAGGTGATTCAATCCCGGGTGCTAGTGGGGTCATCGGTGAAAGTGGGGCCACGGCAGCTGCATTGAGTGCCTTGAAGACCGTCTCCAAAGAAATAAAATGGTCACATTCACATTACCACCTACTATTATATGTGGGGGACAAAATGTTAGCTCTTTACTCCAGGTAAGAAATAATACTTATATTGAATTATTATATTATATGCTTGATATGTTTTTATTACTCGCTATAAGAATGTAATGTTTATGTTAAAAAATATATAGATTTTTTCTAAGTTAATCTGATAGAGGTTGCTTAAAATTCCTATTTGCATATAATCTGTATTAAAAAAATATATTTATTTAAATCTTCTATATATATAAAAATGGATTGCTGTTCCTTAGTCTCGCTAAAACTTGAGAACGGCTGAACGGATTTTGCTAATTTTAGTCTTGAAATACTCCTGGAAGTCCAGGGCAGGTTTGAAAGGTGAGAAAAATACGAAAAATTGCCGGGAAAACCCTAAAAACAGTCCTTTTCTATTTCCCATACAAACGATTTTTTGACATTAGACTTGACACCTAACTAATATGTCAATCATTCTGTTCGATTGAAACAGTAGAAATTTATTAAATACAAGTACCGGGTTATTGAAGACGGAGTAGAGTTTGCCCGGTCAGCTATACCTATATTACTAATGACGAAATTAACGCGGACGAAGTCGCGGGCAAAAACTAGTTTAGAATGTTTGTTTATGTCAATCGAGTTATTATTATATGGTTATTAGATGTTTATTAATTTCTCTCAAACAGTCGTGGTTGTGAAGATCTTTTGCCGCCCGATTTGATTCTGCTGAGCATTCAGTGTATAGCGGCCCAGGAGTATTGGAGTGAACAACAAGACGAGGAGAAGAGCACACATTGTGATAATATTCATCTACCATGTAAATATATTAACTACTTTTATTAAAAAAAGTTTTTATAACCAACCACTAACGCCATCTATTGTCTGAATCATGTAATTTCATGGAACATGTGACTTTAATGATTAGTTTCTATGGTAACAAAGAATTTAAGGATAACGTAACGCCCACATACTATTTCAATTGATAATTTTTGGAAAATTGCTTTTAAATCTTCAGTAGATTCTAGTGCAAAGAATTTCAAATATATGTACATTTTATACCCTGCCTAAAATATTTCCTCATGTATGTTTGTACGTCTAAAACAAGTAATTGTATTTAATTATGATTTATTATACTAGTCGAATCTAGTACACAAAAGAATAATTATAAAGTGTGCATACAAAAATAGCATTAACTTGCCACTTGGTATTAAAAATAATTGAAGGAAGTTCTTTAATTTAAATAATACAATACAAGGTTATCTGGGTATCAGGAATGCAAGATGAGGGTTAAATTTCAAAATAGCAGTTCTTTTATGCAAGAAATACATGTATATTATCAAAACATACATATCTTTTCTTTTGAATATGCTTTTAAGATAAAAACATTTTATATTTTATTTGTTTGATCATAGAATCATCAACTTTCTCTTTCCATTTATTTTGGTTATGTTCCTCCCCATTTACAGAAGTGTCCTTCTATCCAATTTCATATCTGAATTCATGCCATTCATATAAAATCCATTCAGACTTTCCTCGGTGTGTCGTTTGTCGTATTTCGTTGTCATGTAATGCCCTTTCTCTGTCCGATCAATTCAATATAACAGTACTGGCTCGATTAAATAAATCCGTATTTTGCGTCAAGAAAGCGAGGTTTTGAAATTGGCTGCAAAGTACATACAAGTTGGTAGGGATACATTACGCCATTCTCTCTGGCCTTAATCCAACACTTTTGTCCTTGGGATGTTTGATTAATAATATTAACAATTAATAGAATTACAACTTCATGTTTGGTTTGACATCGAAGTCGAGATCGGGATTAGGATAAAAATTAAAAAATAACACTACCGCCATAACATGGTTCCACTCGTGTAGTCTTGGGGTAGAGGTAGCGATCGAGATAAAAGTTAGCCTATTTCCTTGTTTTCCATTTATGTATACACCAACATTCATCAAAATTGGTTCAGCTGTTTAGACATGAAAACGTAACAGACAGACAGAGTTATATATGCATTTATAATATTAGTAGTGATTACATTATGTCACCATTTTCATGTCTAGTATTATGTCACATTTCATTATATATTCTGGTTTACAGTTTTCATTATAATTGGCTTATCAATATGCATGTTTTCAATACCATTGTATGATTTATTACATAAATGTCTAACACACTATTATACTATATGTTGGTTTATAAGGTGTATGTATAATTTTCAGGGTTGTCAACTGAGAATAGCGCTATAGTACACTTGATATCTCCCGCTGGTAAGGCTTGCGTCCCTCACTCAATGCATCTGGCACCCCTGGATACAAGGATTGTGTTTGTGGTTCTTATTGATATGGAGATGAGGTAATTAGGATATATTATATGGGATAGACTTGTATAGGACTGGTTTCTAATATAAATGAGGTTGGAACTAATTTAAATAAAGCAGTTAAGAATTAAAATAGGATAGAGAGAGATTGGGATATGTAGAGATAGGGATTTAAAAGATAGGGATACATAGGGACTGGGATATATATAGGAGTTTGAATATACAGGGATTTGGATACATAGGAATTGGGAAATATAGGTATTAAGATATATAGGGATTAAGGTACATTGGCACCAAGAAGTAGAAATAAAAAGTACATATTTATACGGCTGAACTTTAAAAAAAATACAAGCAATTATTAACACACCTAAGATATATAAGAATTGGATTGAATGTATAGGTCTTGTCTACGATATACAAGGGTTAGTGAAATAAATATATAACTAGCTTACAAGGTGTTTCAAAAGTAGTGTTGAATCTCATGATAAGCATTTTCTGCTTAAAAAGATTGTCCTTGTCACTCACATTGGAAATTACATTGATACAATAAACTAACATTATTATGATTATAAAAATACATATAAGAATTTGGCTAATATATAAGAAAATAGTGGTTTTTATTCGAGACTATCTGTATATGTACTTAATATGACAGATATGTTAAACTAACTGTCAGCGACATCTATCGTCTAATTTACATACCACAATAGTTATGGCCAAAAAGTTTTTTCGAAATTCATTCTCTTAATGTATAAAAACCTACCATAAATTCTCAAATTTTCGTATTTATAATCCAAGTAGGATGAGAATAAAGCTAGGACGAAGAATAAGTCTAGTGTGTATTGTAATACTTATAATTGTATTGAAAAAACTTCTAAGTCTTTTAAGGTAGAAAATTTGTTCATTGCAATATTTTCTTATTTTTCTAATCTTTTCTTACTTATTTCTATTATGTTAAGTAATTAACTAAAAATATTTTAATGAATTTCTTCAAACATTATCGTCACAAACTTATAATTATTTTGTATATTTTCAGAGACATTGGTGTGTCAGTGCAGATGTCAAGTCAAATATTATCAAATCTAAGAAGGCTTTTATTGCAAAGAAATCTAGAAATGCTTCCCAACACACTAGACTCATTGGAACAAGCTTTGAAAAAGGTAAGAATATTATATCAATCGAAGAAAATTTATAATCTCAAATATAATAGTATAGAGAAATTAGTGTATAATAAATTTAATATATTTTTAGTATCACAGAAATGTTGAATTTGGTAATATAAATTAATTTACAAATGAATAATAAAATATCATCATAAAAAGTAATCTATAGTATGAAACAAATCTTTAAAGTGTTAAGTAACAAGCTTGATAATATCTAAAATGGTTATGTTGAATCTATTTCACTTAAAACTACTTTATTAAGAAAATAAATTACCACTTATTGTCATAAATACAGATATTTTTTCTATTAAGCTATCTATGTAGCTAACATTGTAATCAAATTATTCTATAGGTTTTAACCAAATTCCTTAGATAATAGTGTAATTAATAACACAAGTATACGAATAATTTTCAGACAACAGATGCTCTCCGTAAGAACAAATCCAATTCCACCTTATGTGCTCGTCTTACAAGTAGGATGTTGGAATTGAGGAAATCATGTAATACAACAACACCCCTGACTCCTGAAACAACAGCTACAGCCATGCATACAGCATTAGAAGCTGTTATAGAACAGCTTAAACCTGATATACCCAGCTTGAAAATGACGCAGCCATTAAAGGAGTTAAGAAACCTACTCTCGCCTTATATAGACTTCCTAAAAGTCAAGGCAATGAGATACTTCACACTGGAATCATATCCTTTTGAAATATTTTAAACTAGCTTTCCGCCCGCAGCTTCACTCGCGTGGAGTTCGGTTATATCGCGTTTCCAAGAGAACCTTTCGAAAGTCTGGGATAAAAACTATCCTATGTTCTTTCTTAAGGTCAACTCTATGTCTTTACCAAATTTCATTAAAATCAGTTCAGTGGTTTAGGCGTGAAAGCGTAACAGACAGACAGTTACTTTCGCATTTATGATATTTGTAGGGATTATTGCTTGCTAAAAGATTTTAAACTAAATTGATCATTTTCATTTTGATTGCCATGTCATTTATTTTATGCTTTTAACTTCTAACCCCAGATTTTCTGTACTAATATGCTACATTACAAAATATAATTTTACTTCTTACGATCGTGGAAATGTAGAATAGTAAATGTAATTCATTTCTATAATACTGCATTTTACTTATGTATAATAAATGCATGTACATAATAAATACAACTACGTCTAAGCGCCATGTACCGTCACAATCCAAATAACTAATTTATTTCATGACTAACAACATCATTACGATCACGGAGATGTAAATTAGTATATGTCATCGATATCTTTAATATAGTATTTATCAAAGGTCTAACTAAATATTCAATAATCAATGCATGTATATATGTACTATATAAAACTACTTATAAGCGCCATCTATCGTCAATCGTCACAGTCCAAGTAACTCTTTCATAATTAATATCAGCGCCATCTATCGTCACATTGTAACACGTGGTCGCCATTATTAATATCAGCGCCATCTATTATCACATTATAACAACTGATCACCTCATAATTTTCTTGACCGTACGTACTATTCCCGAGGGCGGGTCCATAACTCTTCACAAGTACGTGGAAGAGTTCCCGGGGCTGATACACTTTATATACATAGACCGCGGCACTGGAAGGTTCCTGGCTCCAGATATGGCGGACTGTGTAGACATGTTGACTCCTAATACGGTAATTAAGATAATACTTACTATAATATATGGCGAATATGGCATATACTAATATATAAGTCAGTGGTGGCCTAGTTTAAAGGCCCGCCTCTCATGCTTGCGGGCGCGGGTTCGAAACCTAGCAAGTACCAATGTGATGTTTCCGAGTTATATGTACTTTCTAAGAGTATTTAGACATCACTGATTAATACTGAAGGACAACATCTTAAGAAAACCTGGACTTATAGTTTCACAATTATAAGTTTGAAATCACCAACCCGTCTTAAGCAAGCTTGATTATAAATGCTCAAACCTTCTCCATGTGAGAAGAGATTGCTCATCAGTGGGCTCTGATAGGCTGATGAATATACAACTTTATAAATATAATTAATATAATTGTAAGGTGAGCGAGATCGTTTCCCGAGCTACAAGCGCTGTCCGCGAAGGTTACGGCGCGTGCGTGTGGCGCCGCGGGGCGCTGCATGTATGTGCTGTAAGATGGTTTGAGAGGAAAGGCTCGAGCCTTCGCCCCTCTGCGCCGCCGCACCCCGCCGCTGTGCGAGCCCTGCCCCCGCCTGGGGACATCTGCGGGGCATTCTACAGGTATTACACATGTTACTTAAGAGACGAAACTTCTCAGCATTCCATGTATTCACGGTGCGTATGTCGGGTCCATCGTTGTAGTGAGAGGAGCTTCAACAGTGACTGGGACTTGTGACCCAGGTGTAGGTTTAAGGGTCCCTATCTAACGCGTTAAACGCTCACCTCCACTGTCCAAGCTCCTCTCCCTAACAAAACAAATTACTATAACGTTTATGATGATGAAGATGGACATCTGGAGACTAACTAAGATTAATCTCTCGTAGTAATCTTCTTGATAGTAAAATGCGAGTTCATTTTTTTGGATAATTTTTTTACCTGTAATTGAAGCTACTTGCAAACCGAATTGAATCTAAAAAAGCCAAAAGATCAAAGTGATACGATCTCAAACACTGAACAAAAACTACACGGTAATCTGTTATGTAGTTTATAATCAAAAAATAAAAATCATGTTGTACATCTGAAAATATTAGTTTCATTTAAATGAATACTGGCGAAAATCTTAGATGTCATTACACTGGAATTATCAAATGCACCTACAAATTTTACTTCCAATCAATAAACAATGTCATATTCATTAAATCAAGTTCAATTTATCTGTAAACACTTAAATAATAATAAATCAACACCAATATGACAGATGACTAGTTTAAATTTCTGACACCAGGCGGCAGCACTAGTACTGGTCACTTACCAAGTATGTCTAGCATTTAATATAACCTTCATAGTCGTTTAGTTTAATTTTTTCTTTAATTCAGCACACACACTGATCACGTAGCAAGGAGGTCTAACAATAAAACCTTCATAGTAGTTTTTTTTTCAGACAGCTAGTGGAGCTCTCGTTCCCGGACCAGTCGTGTGTGTGTGTGAAGGAGCTGGTGTGCGTGCACGTGGGGCTGGTCCCGCCGGCGACCGCCGTGCAGCAGGCGCGGGCGCTGGCACACGCGGTCATTGACCTGGCCGGAGACGATCATCATCATCTACTGTGATCACATTATATGGAACATTTGAATTTGGAACGTATACTATAGATCAGAGGTTCCCAAACTTTGTTTCTACTCACTTTGAGAATATCATGACACTGAACACCTACAGAACACTTGAAGTTGAAACATATTATTACAGTATAGAGCAGAGGTTGCCAAACTTAGTTTAGTTTATCTTTGTTCAGTTTAAGAATAAATTTTTTTATGGTGCCCCAATTTTACTTAACATTGAAACTCTATCAACTTTGAGAATAGATCACTATGTTTTAGTATGCCAATTTATTCATCTACTGAAAAACTAGTATAACTTATCCTAGCTAAATGAACTCTATACAACTGCCCCCTTTTTTCTGAATTTCCTCCCACTCCCCTTATACTTGTAGTGCCCACTTTGGGAAAGGCTGATAGAGAGAAATTTTAAACATTCCAAGTTCAATATTATTAAAAACTAGTTTTTGCCCGCGACTTCGTCCGCGTTAGTTTCGTCATTAGTAATATATGTATAGCTGACCGGGCGAACTCTATTCCGTCTTAGAGGCCATAAATAATGAGGTTTTTCCTGTTTCAATCAAACATAATGATTGACATATTAGTTAGTTGTCAAATCTAATGTCAAAAAAAGCGTTTGTATGGGAAATAGAAAAGGGGTGGTTTTAGGGTTTTCCCGGCAATTATTCCAATTTTTCTCACCTTTTATACCTTCCCTGAACCTCCACAAACATTTCAAGACTAAGATAAGACAAATCCGTTCAGTTGTTTTCGAGTTTTAGCGAGACTAAGGAACAGCAATCCATTTTTATATATATAGAAGATAACAGTATACTTGTACTTAACATTCACAATAATTTATTGATAGTTTTTCTCATATATAGTATAATTAAAATTAATAAATGTTCTATATCTTTACTGATTATATAATAGCCTGAATATATCTTCATTTTTTATATATAGTATTTGACTTTACATATACTTAGTGAATTAAGTTAATGAATTTCATTATGTATGTTTGAATGAATAATAAATGAATTTTGTAGTTGTCTTCAATAGTTCTTTAGGTATATATTACAATGAAATGAACTGTTGTTGTAAGCCTTCTTGAAACTTATATGTATAAATATAATTAGAATATAATATAGGAGTCTAGTCAGTTAGGATTTGAGAATTTTTTATATAATTTATTATGATTTTAATGTTTTATTTTATAAAATTTAACTTAACTTTGAACATAACATATTAAGTTTACATCTATTCATAAATAATTATTGTCAGTTTTTTTGATTTAAATAAAATTGTTATATTATTGTTATTGAAGTTAATTACTTATTTTATTTGAATAATTCAATATTTGCCTTTATATTTTGTTTGTGGAAGTTTTTTTATAATATTTTATTTGTTCAAATATTTACTTGTGATGTGCCATTCCATTGTAGTTTTAATAATAAAAAGTAAGTTAATTAAGTTTTGTGTCGTTTTATTTCAGTCTTGGGTTAATAAATAATAGTTTTATAAATGTGATGATGTTTATTAGAAGTTTATTATAAAAATACCCTTCCAGGGATTCACCGACCGTCATTTACATCTTAATGTAAGTATTTACAAAGGTTAAAGATATGGTCACATTGAAACATCTACCCCATAATCTGCCACTGGTGACAGTTTATAGAAAACAACAGGAAATAAGTCAGATATGTCAAAATAATGTAATTTAAATTCAAGGAATCTCGACTGTCCGTTACGATAACCTCTCGTTAATAATTAAGTAGTATAACTTATGCTAATCAATCTTTGAAGTACCTTTATCAAGTGTTACACATTATTTAACTAACACTTATATTATTTTCACAAAGAATATGATTCGGTTTGAAAGTACCTAGTTTGGTAGATCTAGTAATAATATTTACATGCCTTTAATTGTGTGTTTAACTTAAAATTAGTGTAACTGAATACAAACAAGTAACAAAATGTTAAAGAATCCAACAGAAACAAAAATAATGTTAGGATGTTAATGGTAACTTAAAATTAACATTTGGATAAGGCACATTCAGTACTCTGGCGAGCTTCCTCCTAGACTTATGTTGTCGTTAACGAGAACTTGTTTTTGTGTTCTCAAATTCTTGTCTTCTACGTCAAAGGTGATTAGATCTTCATTGACGGTTTTCGTTTTCTGTAAAGTGATATATTACATAAAGTAATTGTTAAGTACAACTGTAGTAAAACATTGTAACGGTTCTTAATATGTTTAATTCTGTTTAAGGCAATTATTTATTAACATTAATCTACTTACACTGCAGGATGGTACATCTGAAGGTTTCTTGACTGCGGCTGCGTAATTCAATGAAGGTGATTGTCCCGATGTTGAAGGTAGTACTAGATTTGAGCAATCTACATTCGGACTTTGGCTTCTACCGTTAATATCAGTGGGATGCTGACTTGGTGGTTCAACTGCTGATTCGGTCACGTTAGATATAATCATGACATTTGGAATGCTCAGTATATCCACACTGGCGGGAGTTCTAATCGCGTCAATACAGGCCTGCGCCATTTCAACATCCCTATTAATATATTTCTCTTCAAGTACTTTGTTATAGGCTGAACTCAAATCTGCCTCGTGTTTTTCAGCTAATATGGCACTCATCTGCTTAATCTCAGCCTCAAGTTCTTTAACTTTGCATTCATTCCTAGCTGCTACCTTGGCCTCTCTAATCAATGCTACATCGACGGCTTCCTGAATTGACAATATAGCTTCCCTTGTGTTGTTAACATCTACATTACTCTCTTTAACAATTTTGTTGAATATGCAATGTGGTGAAACTCTTTTTGATTTTTTATAACCAGATAACTTTTCACCCAAATTTGCGGTCACATCCTCAACATACTCATACATATCGAAGCAATTTATTTTTCCAAATCTGTATATAACTGTATGTGTGGAGCATGCCGATGAAGATTTACTTGATAGATTGCATGAAACAAAAGTCTTCTTGCCGTGATATTTCTCGAAATACTTCTGTAAGCCTCTTGATATTAATTTGTCTCTGAACGTTGGTTTAATGCTACTATTTCTTCTATATTTGTACCAACCAACAATTTCAGCGGCGGCACTCGATATTAGATCTGATAGTACGTCCTCTTTAATTGAACCGGTAGGTAAATAAAACAGCGACACCGAAGGTAGAGGCAATACGGTCCTAATCACAATTTGAGTGTCCAATCTAGCGTTGTCATTTTGAGAGTCAGATATATGGTTGGTGATTTGTGAAGTTACGTCTCCAATCAAAAAGCCCTCCTAAAACAATTAAAGTTGCAATATACTGTGACACTTTAGACTGAATAAATATGTATTTAATATTATATCTATCACACATACCTGACTATTAACAGAATTCATGCATTCGTATAGTAAAAAAGAGAGCGCGGTACCGTTGAGAGACACTTTCTCAGTGTAAGCCATGATTATAACTAATATTAATATTACAAACTAAACTAATTTATCATTACTCATCTCTAAGCACTTCACGGGCAAGATTTTTATGAATAAAATATATTAATATATTTTGAATGATTACTAATGTCGAACCTATCATCACGTCACAGTAAAACAGATAATACTTAATAAACGTAATACCTTGACATCAAATGCATTAGAAATAGAAAATAATATGATTTTCTAAATAAAAACTATTTTAAATTTATATTCTCAAAATTAATATATAAATGACATTACTTTAAATATGGTTCTAAAATGTTCTTCTTTAGGATAACCTGAAATTAAGTGTAGTATTTTTCTTGATTACATCACGTTTTTCTATTTACAATTATTATTTGTGATGATTAGAAAAATTACATGTTTTGACACAATATTGTATGAATCATAATCTATTTGTTTTATAAAATTCAGCTTTTACTATATTTTCGTAATCTGTATAGGGTACAGTGAACAACTCTAGTTAAAATTAAGTCTTATATGTCCATGTCGCCTACTATTCCTCCTGAATATTTCAGTATTGTCATTGTACATTCTAGTGAGTTCGGACTTGTGGTGAAAAAAGCAGTGAGATATTGAAAAATACCTTCGGTTTTCATGGTGTATTAAATTTTAATATCCGTATATGTTTTTAAAACGAAATAGTGATTATTTGAAAGTCGCATATTTATTGCTTTATTTATATCGATTTTATTTCAAAACCGATATTGAATATCGGTACATATCTTTGTTTATTTGTTAAGTTTATATGTAAGTAATATTTATTTTCTTAAATATATATGCATGTTATCTTAAAAACAGCGTTATTGTGTTGGAATATAATATTAAGTATAATAATAGCGATAAGAGAGATTTAGTTCGGTTAAATACTTAAAAATAAATCTATTTTTGTTACAGTTGAGATACGACGTGGTGTATGTTAAGGTGTTGTGTACTGAGATATCAACGAAATTTTCAAGTAGTTTCTTCACTTCTGTCACCAAGTTACTGTTCAAGTTCTCGTTACCTAGCTACAGTAGGAGATAATATGGATGGGTGTATCAATAAAGAGTGTCTGTTGACACAAGATCAAACAGTCTCGAAGAAATATTACCGCAGAGCTGAGCACAGGTAACTATATTAGTGAAATAATATTTTATTAACATTATGTCATCTAAGATTTTCGCGACTTATTCTGCCCGTGATCACGGTTGCTGAAAAGTAGCCGAAACTTAGGGAGTATGTAGTTTTTACCAAAAATAAAATCGCGTAGTACATCCGAAAAATATTAGTTTCTTCATTAACATTAAAATAACTTACATATATTCATTTGAAATTTTCATAAATAATTTCAACCTGACTATAATTTATACATTTTTATCACATACATATATGATAAATATTTTCTTATTTGAGTTATAAACTGTTATTTAAATATTTATATTGTTTATAATCTTAATAGCACTTTGATGTGTGTTATCTTGCATTTATATTTAGATTGTATTTGTGTGAATTGAGTTGCAAAATGTATTTATATGAATTTGTTATGATCAAAGTTAATAAAAAACATTTTCTTAGTGCAAGTTCAACATCATTATATTAATAGTCAAAAAATGTAAGATTCAAGATTTAAGTAGGTAGCACCAAATGCAGACATATTTTTTATAAACAAAGTTAATAACAACATTTATAATAGTATTGATGTTCTGTATTCTGTACAATAATAACTGTATATATATAAATTATATATTTTTTAATAATATCTACTTCTGTTGTGTTTGTGACGGCTAGCCTCTCATTACAAAGTTTACTTGTAATTTGACAATTTTCCTGTTTAATAAAATCCAAGATAATTTTAAAAAGTTAATTTGAGCCTATTATATAAAAAAATAAATAAATAAAATGAAAATAATATAATCTTCCGAGCTCTTAAACCGTTATCACAAATAATTTAATGAACTAGGTATGATTTAAATTCTCCTTCAAGCTAGGAGTGTAATTAAAAAGATAACTATATAACATACTAATGACTTAACCGAATTTTCCTCTATTAATACAACATTTCCATTACATAACATTAATTAATGATACAATATGTTTGTTCGTTAGTGGAACGACAAAAAAATAATTACATCAGATTGAACTGTGACCCGTCAATATGTTATCAAAGTGGATAAGGTTCGAGTTTGGTCTCAGTCATCGAGTTGATTGTGAGTGTTGCACACGTAAAGTAATTAAGATGCCGGACGCTTTCGAAATAGCTTATCCGCTGTCCCCTTCCATAACTCCTCAAGAGATCAGAGCTAGATCTAACAGCTTGAAAAGGAAGCCGGTTATTACCTTTCTGTCTGATGAGAGTGCTGTAGAAATACCAGATAAGACGCATTCGGGTGTAAATAAACCGTTACGTGAGAGGAATGATGAGCTCGACAGCTTCGCTGAGACCATCGCGAGTTTGCACAGCACCTGGCTTGATAAGAGAGACATACAACATAGGTATGATATGTCATATTAGCTCTATTTGGAATAAAATCTAGTTTTATTCGTAAATTAAAACGAATTTCTCATCGTCATCTTTCTGTAATTCTTTTGAAATTTACAACAAATTATTGAAAAGATTTCTGATTTTATAAATTGACTCTTTTTCTATTTATATATGACGTTGACAATTACGCCATTTTGTTTATATGTCAATAGTACATGAGGAGATATGAAGGATATTTATCTATTTTATATTTGCTTATATATTTTTTAATTCCCAGTGACGATGTGTATCTCAATTTCTTTGTCTGACAATAATAGACATAGAGAGGGAACATTAAGAAAATAATTAAAATTATTAAATTTACAGTCTAGACGTTACGTACACGCGCGTGGGTAAATATGCGAGCGAGTGTGCGTGCGTGAGTGCGTGCGTTAGTGCGTGCGAGGTTACGTATGCGTGCGTAGGTAAATGCGAGTGTGCGTTCGTGCGTGCGCGTGCGTGGGTGAATGCATGTATGTCTAATGTACATGATTTTATCTATATCAAAATAATTCAAATAATCTTCAAACAGATTATCAATAGACTAATGAGATCTAAGTATTTCGCGAGTATTTATTTAAATGAAACTAATATTTTTCGGATGTACTACGCGATTTTTATCAATAGACTAATCAGCTGACGAAACTATTTTCTATATATATTTTTATTTGAATACGTTTTAAATCTTTAAAAAAATGGCCTTTGACCGCTATTGTATTTACTAAAAAATACCTTAAACTGTACTGTATAAACAGTACAGTTTTGACCTCGAATTAAGACGAGGGAGATGATAATGAGAGAAAATAATCGATAAGGACTATGAAACGAAATATTTGGAATAAAATATAATATGCAAACAAAAATAAAATTCTATAAATATATATTGTTTACGTTAATGTTTATAGTTGATAACGTTTTGCTTACCACGAGTGAGCATCGTGACAAACGGAGAATTAATAGTTTTATTAATGCCGGCCACACGCTACGGTCTACCGGAAAGGTCCACCTGTGCAGGTAGACCGGAATGTGTGTGAGAATAGACCTGTGCAGTTTTTTAAACGCTACTATTGTCATTTGACCTGCACAGGTATACCTGCACAGATTAGCTCTCCGGTAGACCGTAGCGTGTATAGCCGGTATAATACATCATCAAATAGGGGAAACGTATCGTGTGCAGTATGATAGACTTGTGGTAATCATTCAAGTATATGTTTTATTGGTCATCATTTATTGATAGACTAGTTTTGGCCCGCGACTTCGTCCGCGTTAATTTCGTCATTAGTAATATATGTATAGCTGACCGGGCAACCTCTATTCCGTCTTCAATAACCCGTTATTGGTATTTATTAAATTTCCACTGTTTCAATCGAACAGAATGATTGACATAATATTAGTCAATCATTCTGTTAGTTGTCAAGTCTAATGTCAAAAAATAGTTTGTATGGGAAATAGAAAAGGGCTGTTTTTAGGGTTTTCCCGGCAATAATTCCAATTTTTCTCACCTTTTAAACCTTTCCTGGACTTCCAGGAGTATTTTAAGACTAAAATTAATCAAATCGGTTCAGCCGTTCTCGAGTTTTAGCGAGACTAAGGAACAGCAATCCATTTTTATATATATAGAAGATAAGTCAACTCTTTGGTGGTAGGTGGTGAAATTGGAAAAAATGTGTTATTTTTCGCGAACATTCCAAAAAAATATTAATGAAATCATATGTAAGATAATATTTAAATTTTGTATAATTAATACGTTTAATTTAATGTATAATTTAATTTTTTATCAAATGTGATTAAGACTTTTTCTTAAGTATCTCCAATACAGAAATAGTTTTTATGAGAACAATTTTAAATATTTAGGTACCATACATATCGTAACTTTAACATTTTATTAAACATCTATGCTGCGGTTTTTCACAGAAACACAGAAATTTCCCAGAATAAGGAAATCGTTAAAGAATTACATAACAAATAGATCTTACGAGATTTTTATTCCGGGGTTTTTTATTTTCTGCAAACCAATTAGATTGGATTTTTGTTACAATTAGTGGATACCTAAAATGCGTTATTATTGTATGATGACGTCATCGTTTCAAGCCTTACGGTGACGTCATAATATATAATTACCATTGGTAATTGTTAATCATGTTTTATTGCACGTACTGTTATGTGCCGGCGGTTTTAAAGATTTGTTCCAATTAGTTGGTATTAAAAGCGGTTCGTAGAAGCTATCGTTGTTATAAATGAATGGAAATTATCAAATGAAACGACTAAAACTTACGATGAATTAAACAGTTGTGAGAGATTGAATTGAACAGTTGTAGGTTATACATAATGCATGAAATAGTTGTTGATGATGGAAAGTTATGTAGTTGTAGGTAATAAATTCAATAGTTGTAAATAATACCTAAAATAGTCGTAACCAGTATAAATCATGTGCTTAGTATTTGTTTATAAGTTTAACCTGAACAAAATTCTTTTAAATATATAAAAGAATGTCGTGTTAGTTACACTATTTATAACTCAAGAACGGCTGTAGATATATGGTTGGAAATTGGTGAAGAGATAGCTTAGAACAAGGAGACTGACATAGGATATTTAATTCTGTTTTCTCTAAAAAGAAAACAAATACTTAATAAATTCAAATATCTGGTTATTTATGTCCTCTAAGGAGGAATAGAGGTCGCCCGGTTAGCTATATAATATATACTACTAATTCCCAAATTAACAGTACTAATATAAAAATTTAGTAGTCATAGTAATAAAATAAATAAATTTATTCTATACATAATACAAGTCATGTATAAAATCTGCTTGAACACGGAACACATTTTAATGACTAGCTATTGTGTTGGTCGGATCGATATTTGGAAAGGTCCGCATAATGGATGCAGGTTTTAAAACAGAGAGTTGTAATGTACCAAAAAGAATACATATATACATGCCTACTAATATTATAAATGCGAAAGTAACTCTGTCTGTCTGTCTGTTACGCTTTTACGCCTAAACCACTGAACTGATATTAATGAAATTTGGTACAGAGATAGAGTTGACCTTGAGAAAGAACATAGGATGGTTTTTATCCCGGACTTTTGAAAGGTTCTCTTGGAAACGCGATATAACCGAACTCTACGCGGGCGAAGCCGCGGGCGGCAAGCTAGTTATATATAAAAGTACGAATTTGAAGCATGATTGGAAATTTTGGAAAAATTACTGTTAGATAAAATTTAATTGTTTAGTATAAAAAGGTAGAGGAAAGATTTGTAAGCATAAGCAAGTTTTCAATTAATTTTTCATATAATTTAAGTCTTGGTACATTACAGCCATATAATAATTATTATATAGAATAATATTTCGGATTCAACTCCCAAGATATCAACGTTGATACAAACAAAAAATACCTACACTATGTAACAATAGAAAAACTTTAATAACACCTACCAAACGTTTTCGTTGTCATACTACATACGCAGAGTCTACAGTGTGTCGTTTAAACCAAAGTTGATATTATGATGTGTGAGGATCAATGTATGAAAAATTACTTAGAACTGAGAACCTCCTTTTTTGAAGTCGGTTAAAAACTATATACGCTCTGTATTAACAATGGAAACATTTGGTAAGATAACAAATATTATATTACTTAGAGCAATAAAGTAAATAAAGGATACTATTTCTGGGGCACGTATATTGAATGTACAATTGTTTTGTGACAAATGTTACAGTTTATATAACTAACTTTCCGCCCGCAGCTTCGCCCGCGTGGAGTTCGGTTATATCGCGTTTCCAAGAGAACCTTTCAAAAGTCTGGGATAAAAAATATCCTATGTTCTTTCTCAAGGTCAACTCTGTCTGTACCAAATATAATTAAAATCAGTTCAGTGGTTTAGGCGTGAAAGCGTAACAGACAGACATACAGAGTAACTTTCGCATTTATAATATTAGTAGGGATAATATGAGTTGTTAGTTTTTTTGACAGTAAGTCAGTTTAATTCCTAACTGATTTCAAATAGAATTAACTATACATTCTCAAACGGTTAAATATTTGCGTTATATCAATTCTAACCCGTGCAACCTTGAAGCAATTCAAAATGTATACGTCATTTCCAGAGTCAAAAAACTTAACAGATTAAATTAGATTATTATTTAATCTATATCAAAAGATTATTTATTATCTATATCATATAATTAAATTCTCATACATATATAAATGAACTCTTTAATAAATAATAATGTTTTTTTCTCAAATGATATTGAAATTATTACAAACTATTCTGCATTAGGTAGGCGGTGGTGACGCATTTAACGTAAATAGATTATAAAAAAACGAATTTATGTACGTAGGTATACAAAATTATATACATATATATATTAAATATTCTTTGTTTGTATGTCAATGTTTTGTATTTTGTCTTGGTATGTAATGAATCAGCTGTTGTATGCTTGTTAGGGGGGGAAAGGTACACCTTACACGTCACTCGTCAGTCGACGTTAAACCGTCCAAGTGTTACTACGTGCGTTAAAAAATTTTTCGATAAAAAAAAAATCGCGATCTTTTTATGTTTTGAACAAGAGTATTCGTGTGTTGGTTTAAAACAAAGTTTTTAAGTGTCAGTCTGTGTGATCAGTGTCAATGAAATCTCTGATTATTATCTAAGGATTTTTTTTTTTGTTAGTTTGCACATAATAGGTACATGTTCGCGTACGTATGTTGAAATACGTGTGAGATTTCATCTTGTTTTGAAATTTTTATTCGCTATTTCGTAATGTAATGAATATTTTTGATTTTTACATTATTTTACTATTGTTTTGAGATATATTTATTATACATGTATATGAGTAATAAGGGATATAACATACGTGTTTTTTATGTTTTCCTGCATATTTGTTTTAATATATCATGTAGTTATATGTTAATTTTGTATGTTTTAAATCGATTTACTCTCGCTGACTCGACAAATGGTCAACATCCGTTCAGTTT